CTCGGTTCCTCCGGCCTGGTGACCCCTCGGGCCCCAGGCAGCCCCTGGACTGGGACTGTGCACCCGCACAGGGACACGGAGCAGCCAGGAGTCCTGAGCTTCAGCTTTGTTTTCTCAGCAACTTCTCGGAGCTGGGAGCACGGCCAGCTCTGGGCAGCCTGGGGACTTGTTAGAACGCAGCAATTAGAAAGTGATGATTAAGTCGGGAAAGTGAATCACCCGCCCTGTGCCTGGGCTCCCAAGAGGAGGAGGACCTTGCCAGGCACCCGTGGGTTTCTGACTTTCCTCCCGCTGGCATTAGGGCAGTAAGGAAGCTCCGTGTTCATTTAGGAAATGTGAAATCAGGGAGAAACTTGTACAAAAAGTTCTGGGTCTCTCCTGGGGCCAGAGACCATTCAAGGCTCCTTTGCTGATTGCCAAATGCACTGGCTGTGTGTGTGTGTGTGTGTGAGTGTGTGTGAGTGTGTGTGTATATGAATATTCAAAGCGTTCATCTAAGTTTCACCTGTTTGTAAAGCCCAATACCATAATAGGAATTTGTTGCTGATGCCACTTGTATTGTGGATACTAGATCTCCTGTAAAACACACGCACTTTAAAGTTAAGGAGGTGGAAGGATACTTTCCGCTCTAAAATAGCAGGAGATTGTGGAAAGAGGAAAGCATATAAAATAAACACAACCAAATCTTAGATACATAGAATATATTCCCCGACATAAAAGAAATCAACATGTACACAGAATGCATTCTAGACTCCACCTTGTCCAAGACTAATTACTTAATTAGTGGTCAGTAGTGAGACACTGCCCAGGATGGAACCAGGAGGAAGATAAGGAACAGGAAAGCTGCCGGTCTTAAGTCTTTCCTGACAGCCACGGAAACCACAGGCTGTGGAACGGCTCAGGAAAAATAGAAGTTCCCAAGTTTGCTTAGCTGGATACTCAAAGGATTAGTCAGTTAAGTATCTCGGTTTCCCAGGGTCTCGGGCTCCAGCTCCTGGCTTAGCGTCTCTTTTGCCCTGCTTTGGTGATTGCAAATCCCCTTGAACTAAAATTAGCTGGTGGAATTCAGGGGCAGTGCGTGGGGCCCAGCGGATCCGCAGCCAGCAAGTCAGGCTCCTCTGTGGTGTCTTGATACCTGAGCACTTGAGGACAACATCACAGGGTTTTCTTGTTTAAAACTTCTGCGTTCATTTGTTGACCAAAGCAGGATAATCAAGCATTTTCTGTTTACTGTAGTAATTTTCTTTCCTAAATTTAATGATTTAAAGACATTATTATCAAGAGTTTATTTTTCCCGATTATCAATCTGGTGATTGCAGAGAGAATAATAGTATTTAGATTATTTTTATTTAACTTCTACAAGGATAAAGAGACAGAAGAACATAATTTCATTCTACTCATGTGTGTAAATAATTATTAATCATTTCAATTTTCATTACCATACTTTTGATCTAAGCAAAAAAAATTGATTAATCATGTCCACCAGGCAAAACAAGAGTAGTCAATTGAAAGCGACATTTTCATTCTATTTCCTAGCCATCTTTTCTCCGAGTTTTCTGTCATGTCCATGAGATACAAAACACTGCAGTTCATTTTCATGGTGACAGAAAAAGTCCACTGAAGCCTTGATTGCAGATTGTCAGTGAAGGTCTTTTTGTCAACCCCCTAGCATGTGGGCTATAAAGGCCCCATGAAAGCACTTCGAAAATTCAGAAAGAGTGGATAAGGCTGCTGTGTCCCAACACATTGAAAACCCATGTTTCTGATTTATTTATTTATTTATTTTTTATTTGACAGGTAGAGTTAGACAGTGAGAGAGAGAGACAAAGAGAAAGGTCTTCCTTCCATTGGTTTACCCCCCAAATGGCCGCTACGGCCGGTGTGCTGCATTGATCCAAAGCCAGGAGCCAGGTGCTTCCTCCTGGTCTCCCATGCGGGTGCAGGGCCCAAGCACCTGAGCCATCCTCCACTGCCTTAGAATTTCAGATATGAGATGGAGATCAGCAGTAAGCATGCTCAGTAAGTGATTGTTTTTTTAAAAAAATTTTATTTATTTGAAAGAATTACAGAGAGGGCAGAGAGAGAGAGAGAGACAGAAAGAAATATTTTCTATCAGCTGGTTCATTCCCCAATGGCTACATTAGCTAGGGCTGGGCCAGGCTGAAGCCAGGAGCAAGGAGCCAGTAGCCAGAGGCTTCCTCCAGGGACCGAAGGACCCAAGGACCCAAGGCTATCTTCCACTGCTTTCCCAGGCCATCAAGCAGAGAGCTGGATTAGAAGTGGATCAGCTGGGACACGAGCCGGTGCCCATATGGGAGAACAGCACTGCAGGTGGTTTTTCCCACTGAGCCACAGCACCAGCCCCGAAAATGCACATTTTTAAAAATCTCACCAGGTCAGGCATGTATTAATGGGAAGGGAGTTGACTATGATAAACATTGAGTCTATTTGTTTTGTCAGCATGCAGACACTGTCAAACAGGTTTATATCTAACAGGATAATTTTAATTTAACTTAAATATACTTTTTATGGAAATGAGATATGTTTATATTTTGGTGATTGTTATTTGTGAAGTTATTAGAAGTATTCTTTTATTTCTTCTTGTTTTTAAGCTTTAAAACTTATTATATATTGGCAAAGTACAGTTGTGTATATTTATGGGTACAAAGTGATATGGTTTTAGGATACAATGTGAAATTCTTAGGACAACCAATTAATACATCCATCACCTGAAATGTTTCACACTCTTTGTGATGAGAACATTTGGAATTTCTGTCTAGATAGCTAATGACTGTGCACCACCCAGTCACTGGCCAGACTCATCATGCTGTGCAGCAGACACAATAGAAATGATCCTACAGAGCCAGGCATGGCTCAGCTGAGCTGTGCCACCTGCAGCCGAGACAGAGTCACACCCGTGCTCCAGCGGGTCATCACCCTGGTGCTGAACCCCACCTGCTACCACCTGAGAAATGCGGAATGAGCTGGCCTGTGTCCTCCAGGTCACCCACGCTGTCACAGATGTCAGGATTCCACATGCTTTAGGCTGAATTGTATTTCCTGTGTGTGTACAGCATTTTCTATATCCACACATCTGATGAGGCCATGGCAGTGGATTCCTCGTCTTGGCTGCATCTGGAGCAGTGGGAACACCTGGTGCATGGGCACTCAGTAACTGCTGTGTGGATGGAAGCACTACCTTTGCAAAGGTGGCTGTGAGTTCATGTTGGGAGTCTGGTCCTCATGCCACTTCCCCTCTGAGACCCTTCCCTGCTTAGGAGTCCAGGTAGCGGGGTTTTATACATGCTCTCTGGGCTAGTTCTCTGACATCTGGCAACCTACTGATTTAAAGAAGGTTCTGGGGCCGGCCCTGTGACATAGTGGGTAAAGCCACCACCTGCGTGCTGGCATCCCATATGGGTGCCAGTTTGAGTCCCAGCTGCTCCACTTCTGATCCAGGTCTCTGCTATGGCCTGGGAAAGCAGTGGAAGATGGCCCATGTTTCTTGGGCCCCTGCACCTGTGTGGGAGACCTGGAGGGAGCTCCTGGCTCCTGACTTTGGATCTGTGCAGTTCCAGCCATTGTGGCCAATTGGGAGTGAACCAGTGGATGGAAGACCTCTCTCTCTCTCTCTCTCTCTGCCTCTCCTTCTCTCTTTGTGTAACTCTGACTTTAAAATAAATAAATAAATTTTAAAAAATAATGCAATCCATAATTGAATGCAGCTAAGAGGGTAGATATTAGATGTTCTCACCACAGAAAGATGAAAAATATATGAGGTGATGGATGTGCTAATAGTTTCATCAAATCATTCAACAATGCAAGCATATAACAAAACAGCATGTCTACTGTCAATATAAATGCTTTTATATTCTCAATGTTAACAAATATGAGAAACTAAATTGGCTTTTCCACTGGTCACTGTTTTAGTAATTCTTATTGCTATCTAGTTTCAGAAAATGGGGCACATTTGAGCAATTCAAAATGTATACCTATGATGAAGATACAACTGCAGGGTTTGTATTCTAAAGCCCGATTCGCTTGCTATTAGATGACAGCAAAACAACTGCTGCTTCACTGAATTTCACCAGTACTCTCGTTAAAATGAAGAAAGGCTCCTAACTGAGACATTTGGTTAAATTGTTTAGTATTGGGACTAGATTTAGTATTGGCACAGCAGGTTAAGCCTCTACCTGCAATGTCAGCATCCAAATGAGCACTGGTTCCAGGCCTGGCTGCTCCACTTCCAACCCAGGTCCCTGCTAATGCACCAGGAAAGCAGCAGCAGGTGGTCCAAGAGCTTGGGCCCCTGTCACCCATGTGGGAGACTCGGATACAGTTCCAGCTCCTGGATTTGGCCTGGCCCAGCCCACCTTTTGTGACCAATTGGAGAGTGAAGCAGCAGAAGGAAGATCTCTCTCTCTCTCTCCCCCCTGCCCCATAAGTGCATCTTTCAAATAAACAAGTCAAGCTTAAAAGCAGACAAACAAAAAGATTTATTTATTTTTCCATTTTAGATGGTAGAAAAGACAGGGAAGGAAGACTTTGGGATGGAGGGAACTGTGGGAAAGTTGGGTGGCTCTGAGCTGTTACAGGACATGACCCTGGAGTACAGAGGTGATGCTGCCCCTTCAAACCACTAACGCATCAGGAATGCAAACACCTTCCTAATCCCTGCCTGCATCTCTCTGTTCCGGAAGCTGTACACAATGGGGTTCAGTGTGGGTGTCACCGCAGTATAGAGTGCGGCCACCACCTTGTCCTTTTCAAACGTGTAGCTGGAAGCAGGGCGGATGTAGGTGTAGATCACCGGGGAGTAGTACAGGGACACTATGATGAGGTGGGATGAACACATGGAGAAGGCCTTTCTCTTGCCCTCCACTGTGCGGATGCGCAGGATGACAGCAATGATGAAGCCGTAGGAGACGCAGGTGCAGGAGAAGTCCCGATGGCCAGGACGATGTCAGCAACGTACAGCGTGACTTCATTGACTTTCACAGGGCTGCAGGACAGAGCCAGCAGTGGGGGTATCTCACAGAAGAAGTGGTCAATGGTGTTTGGCCCACAGAACGTCAACCTCAGGATGAGACCCGTGTGCACCCAGGCATTGGTGGTTGCCACAGCCATGACGACACCCAGCAAGGCCACGCAGGTATGGCGGCTCATGATAGCATTGTAAGTGGAGTGGGCGGCAGATGGCCACATGACGGTCGTAGGCCATGGTGGTGAAGAGGACCATCTCAGCCCCCAGGGACCACGTGAAGAAGAAGAGTTGAGACAGGCAGCCCCCATAGGAGATGGTCTTTGCTGATGTGAGCATGGTGCCAGCACCTTAGGCATGATGTTCGAGGTACAGATGATGTCCACGACAGCCAGGGCCAGCAGCAGGATGTGCATGGCGTGTGCAGGGTGGGGTTGTGGATGATGGCAACCACAATGAGCGTGTTGCCTAGGAAAGCCACAAGGTAGATGGCCAGGAGGACCAGGGAGAGAACTGCCTGGAGGTCAGGCCTTTTGGTGAGGCCCACAATCAGAAACTCAGTTACGGTGCTGTGGTTCATCCTGCTTGGTGGTCAGGGGCAGACTGCACAGCGTGAGGGGCTGGGGATGGAAGCGCCTATGTGCTGGGGTGAGGAGGACCTGCAGTGCAGTGATGTCATCATTGGTTGGGTGCAGTTCTGTAGCATGGATTCCCGGAAGATGGAATTCTGTGTTCTAGGCTGAGTGCTCTCCTCTCCAGACAGATCCTGCCCTCGGACACAAGTCCCTGCTTAGATGACTGGAATAAACTGAACAGTGAATGAGAATGACATAAAAGGAAAATAAGGATCTTCAAATATTTCAGTATTTTCAATTGGACTTCAACCTGGGGGGTATTGTTTACATTCATGTTTGTATATACATATGTGTGTATATGTCTATGATGGAACTATAATACAAATGATGACACAAATTGGTAACTGATTCATTATATGTGTGTTTAGAATCTTTCTTGATGTGTACATGAGCAGCATCCTGGAACAAGAGAGGATCGTGGCTCAATGTAGTGGGATTATTTCAGGGGAAAATGACCAGCACAGTATTTGAAGCCTGTCTGTTAATAGAACTACTGACTAATTTTCTGCAGTAAAAATACTAAACAACATAATCAGATGTATGAATTAGGAGTATTTCTTCATTTTAACAAACATACTGGTGAAGTTGAGTGAGACAACTATTTGTTTTGCTGTCACATAATGGCAAGAGAATTGGACTTCGGAATATGAATTCTGTGGTTATATCTTCACCACAGGTGTGCATTAACCATCTACCTCCACAGGCATCAGCTTTTCACTTGGAAAGCCTGGGTGCAATGATGCAGATTGCAGATAACACACAGGAAGAGCTGGTGTCTGTGGAGGAAGCCCAAGGACACAGGCAGCAGGAACTCTCTGGAGATCAGCCACCAGGGCCCAAGAGGAGTTGGCGTGCTAGGCTGTTCCCCAGAATGTCTCTGGTGTTCTACATGTGCGTTTTGTGCTTATTTGTTAGACAGATTTGCTCTTTATGCACAGTTATTTCTATGAATTAATGGCTTTCAAGACTTTCATGATCAAATCTAGTAGAAGTGTTCAAAGCAATTGTGAATTCTTCCACAAATTTGTTTTATCAATGATCTTTAACATTTCAGAGATAATATTGTATTTCTGATATCTAAACATACATGTGCAAAACATCATTTTTCATTGTGATTTAACAAAATTAGCCTGATTTACTCCTTCAGGTCCTTTAGCCACAATAAATCATTTGCTAAATATATATAAAATATTGATGAATAATGTTATTTATTTGTGCAACTGTTTGTGATCAATTATCCTGAAGCAGTGTATAGTGGTGATTATAGTCCTAAGATATAAACCAAAATTTACCAAAATGCAAAAATTCATGAGGAGAGTAAAGAGTATACTTCTGGTCTCTTTGAGTTAAGGAAAAGGTCAGGACCCCAGGGAATCTAATTCTCATCAATGACCCCATGAACTTCCTAGGAGTGGAATTGGCTGGTTTCTGTGTTCACTGCCAGTTCCATGGGTTCTGTATGTGAAGGAGGCAGAACACAGAAAGGTCTCATTCACAGTTCACCTGGAAGAAGGGATATCTTGACCATGAAGCTCTTGTTTGGAATATCCACCATTGCCACAAGGTGGAGACACATCATGTTCTTGCCTTAGATGTTCAAACAATGCTCACAAGTTCTCTTGAGTTCTGTTCTGTAATGACATTAGCCTCTCTTGAATATGAACCTAGACCCCGAAAAACAACACTACTTTGCAAAATAGGGCTTGCCTACATCAGCAGGAGAGTATTTTATCAGGTCTTATAAATCAAAAGCCATTTATTTTTGGATATGTCCCTTTGTGGTTGCCTTGTCCACAGCGATCAATTTTGCTTTAGTTATATTTAACCTGGCTAAGATTTTTATTAATCAAAATTTGGAGGCAACACAAATAGTAAAATTTAGTTAGAATCAAAGTTAAGGACTTAATCTAGAATCTGGCTCTTTCTGTCTAAGGACTTGAATTTTTATTTATTTTTACTTGACAATAAGTGTATATTTTTATTGGGTACAATGAGATGCTTTGATCTAGGTATACATTGTAGAAAGAATTGATTGAGCTGGTTAACAATCCAGCATTTCACTGAGTTATCTTTTTTGCTGGTGAAGATTTTACACAGCTATCATTTTAGCAATGTTAAGGTACACAGTGCATGCAGGGCAGCACCTCGCAGATGTGCACCCCTCCAGCTTAGCTGGAACTTTGCCCCCTCCGGTCAACGTCTCCCCTATAGTTTCTCGTATCCACATTTCTGCTTTTTGTTTCTGAGAGACTGAATTAATAAAAACAGACATATCAACCAGAAAAACAGTAGAGGAAGCCTAGAAATGAGTCCCCACATTTGCAGTCCATTCAGCTTTGATCAAGGTGTCAAGAAGACTCTGGAAAAATCCAGGCTCTTCAGTGAGTGATGCTGAGGTGTCCACATGAAGAAGAATGAAACTGAACCCTTGCACCAGAGACAAATGGGAAAGAGGCTTACGTGCAAGTCCAGAAGCAGTAAAGCTGCTAGGAGAAAAATGGGAGAAAGCTCCATGACCTTGGTCAGGACGACGATTTCTTGAACCCAACTCTAAAAATGCAGAGAACAAAAGCAAAATATGCAAAGGGGGTTGCATCGAACTAAGAAGCTGCTGCACAGCAATGGAAACAGTCGACAGAGTGAAGAGACAATTCACAGAAGGAGGGCAATGTCAGGCCACTGTCTACAGGCCACTAGAGCCCAAAATGCTTAAGGCCCTCAAACAACTTCACGGCAAAACAGAACAAGAGACAGCAGCCTGGTGAGCAAATGAGTGAAGGAACTGACCAGATGCTTCCTGAAGCAGAGCTATGGACAGCCAATAGATGGGTGAGTGAATGCTCCATGTCTCTAGCCATCCAGGAAGCACAGATTCAAGCCACAGTGAGATGTGGCCCCAGGCCTGCTGGAACGCCTGTCACCAAGTATCTGGAGGATGGCTCTGTTGGTGAGAATGTGCAGAAAAGGAGACTTTGTACACTGCTGGAAAACACTATGGAGTTTCCTCGAAAAACCAAAAACAGACTGGCTGTGTGATTTAGCAATCACAGCTCTGGTGTGATTTCTATCCAAAGGAATGAAATCAAAATGTCAAAGAGATCCCTGAACCCCCACATTCATCTCAGTGTTATTCACAATCTCTAAGATATGGAATCATCCTAAGTGTCCAGCAAAAGACAAATGGAGAAGGAAAATGAGGCATGTGTAGACAACAGAGGCCACACTGCCTCAAGCAGTGGATGAGCCTGGAGGACAGGGAAAGCCAACTGCTGTGTGATCTCACTAACATGTGGAGAGTAAAATCTACCTCACAGACTTGTGAAGTGGTGACTGCAACTTTCATGCACATTCTCCCAGTCTCAGTCTGCTCTCATTGATCAAATGGGGACAGCAGCATCTGTGAGGATTAAATAATGAATGTGAATCATTAGGGACTCCTGGGAAGATGTGCAGATACTGATTGGAGGTATTAACTGTTACTTAGTGGTCCAGATCTTATCCTTTAAAAAATTAACATGCTTAACATTTGGATTTTCATCATCAGGAATTAAGCGACTTTTACATTTAATACAAGAAAACATTTCTCAAATTATATTTGAAAAATTCAATAAAAGTTATAATAAAAGAATAAGCAGATTGAGTTCAGATAATAACAGAATTAAATCAATTCTATGGACAATAGGAATGTCTTTATTCAAAAAATATTTAAAGGTCACACTTGGTGCTAACCATTTGCTTCTAAACGACTGTAATGAGGTGAAAATGGAATACATGTTCTCCGTTGCCTCAGAGTTGGTGAGAAAGCAAGTATAAGTCAGCTGAGAAGCTCTGAGTCTGGGGGAGTCATGCCGGGAAAGAGCTTGTGCGGTGTCCCGGAGTGCACAGTCCTTGCGGTCCTGATGGTCTTGGGGCAGGGGGGCCCAGCCCCCACCCCACGGCTCAGTGGCCCTTGCTCAGTCCTCTCTGGGGCCCTCACATTTGCCATCTCCACATCTCCTTCCCAGCCTGGGAAGATTTTCTTACTGAGAAAAGCCTGCTTTTAGTCCATGTAGATGCAGTATTGACTTCCAAAGTGACCGTTTTTGAAGAGTGTGAAGGGACAGGGAACAGAAGGGGAGACCTAACTTCCGAGAACAATCACTAATGTGCAAATGTGAGAAGCAGGAAGCACAGCATGGACGCGGGCTGTGGTCACTGGTGTCCCTCAGACAGGGATAGCTTCGTGTGTGTCACTGTTACTGTGCATGTAAGGATGAAAAGACAGTACTGGCTGAGCTCATTGCATGAATGGCTACCTTGTGAGCAGGCTTCCGAGGGAGGAGGCCCTGTGTGGTGTGTCCACGTGCAAGACCACAGCCTTCAGGGCAGTGTGCAGGCTGGACTCCTTCTGGAGCACAGGCTGCATTGATAAGAACTAGCTGCTTTGTAGAACTCTATCAATCTAATTAAGTTTAACATTAGGATCTACTCACAATGGTCAATCACCAGAATAAAGCAAAATATACATTACATGATACATAAAACTAGGTGCAGAAAAACTTGCACGAGTTCATCTTATTAATGTGGCTGGGTATAGGTATTTGCAAAGATATCCTGGGAGGAGTGACTTGCAGCCCTGCAATGCTTCCATCCAACATTTCCTAATGGTTTATATTGCTCTTTTATGTGCTTTTTGCTGTAAAATTTCAGCCATGGGAATGGGATTAAGATTAATCTTTCATGCTCTGGTTAAAAAATAGTTAAATATAGCACTTATATCCTGCATGTCCCTGTTGAGCCACAATTTCACAGTGACTATGAAGCTAGTCCAAGATACTCACATGGGCTCATCATGTTCAAATGGTGGCTTGTACTGAATCACTGGAGACCCTGAAAGTACACAGCGACTCCAGTTCCTTGTCTGTCCATGACCTCCTTCATGTGGCTTAAGTATGGTCCCTTCGGAGCTCACATCCGTCACGAGCTTGGCCCTGACTCAGCACTGAGCGAGGAATGGCTTCTGGAACACAATTGCTAAGTTGCATGAAAATGCATCTCAGAGGAACAATTACAACTCTTGCCCGGATTGCTAATTACGATGTGGAGAGACCTGGCCTTTGGGGCGTTGCCTGGTCTCCATGCAGACCAAAAGGTATCCCCGGGTAACCCAGGCATGGAGCAGGAAGCCTGAGAAATGAGGGACTCTGGAAAAGCAACAGCAAGCCCAGGAATGAATGGGTGGGCATTGGGAAAGCAGTGGCGATGGCCTGGGGACTCCCTCTGCCAGGAGAAGTTGAGAGAGGATGGGCGGCAGGAACAGAGTTCCTAGAAGAGGGTTGAAGAGTGGATGCCCCCTTAGCCTCTGAGCTGGGGGTGGGGGTGGGGAACGGGGTCTACAAATGAACTGTAGCAGGCATTTTGGTTTTCAGTGGTGAATGCAACACCTGGCCCTTCAGCGGAATCTCTGAGTTTTTAAAATCTGTTCTGTTCATAGTTTTTTTTTTTTATTTTAATATAAAGGGAACAGATGTCATGTATTTCATATCTATGGTTTTAAGACTATGATAATGATATTTCCCATCCTCCTTCCCTCCTTCTTTCATTTCCATTTTTCCTTCTTCTTCCTTTTCTTTTAATTTTTGCAATGGCATACTTTGAATTTACTTTCTAATCACAAGCTTAACTCCAACCAAATGAAGAATTCAACAAGTAGTAGGTAGGAAAACCACTGTTCCTCAGGAGTATAGACAAGGCTATAAACAATAATCAGATCTCAAAATGTCAATTTCATCCACATACATTACATCATCATCATCACATAGATTCTCTCTCCGTTTGTTTATCTCTGAGAAAAGGTGAATCTTAGATGGTTTTTGCAGGTTTATTTGGCTGCCAGGCGTGATCTGGATGTTTACTCATTATTTGTAGGAAACATGGTATTCCTCAGTATTTCAGACTGTCAGCAAGGGAGCAAGAGAAAGGCAGGGGTGACCCGAAGGTAGAGCTGCTGTCTGCAGCCAGGAAGCCCAAGTGCAGAGTGGGCAATCATGGGGCAGCCCGGTCCTGTGCGTGGGGCCTGGGTGGGCTTGGGGGGCAGTGGCTCCTTTCCTGTTGCGTTCAGTTGTGGCTGGTCCTTGTGTGTGTGGCTGTTTGCCTCAGTGGGACCTAGTGGGACTGGCATCCTGAGGGGTTGGGAGGGGGGGCAAGCTGCAGGCGTCTGCGGTCACCACGTGGTTCTTCGGTTCCCTTTGTCCGTGTTTTCTGTCCCTGAGCATTGCCTGGCTGCACCAGCACCCACCTGCGAATGTCCCCTCCTTCTGTGTGCTTCTCTGTTGCTGCAGGTGCTTTGTGAGCTCCCTGGGTCTGTGCCTTGCTGTCTGCTGTGCTGTGGGCTGAGGGCTGTGTCTCATCCCTACTACCTGAGTGACATCTCTCCAGAATGCAGTGTTATGAGCTCTTTTGTTGCTGTAGATTCAGTGATAATTCTTCCCTTCAACTTCTGGTTTTATGCATTTGTGTCTTTTTTCCCATCAAAAGGTAAAAGATTTGCCTATTTTGTTGATTGTTAAAGAAATCACACTTTTAGCTTAATTGATTTTCTGTAGTTTTCTTATCCTCTATTCAATTTTTGTCCACTCACATCTTTTATTACGACATAGGTTCTATGAATGTTAACTTTACTTTGCTTTTCTTCCCCTATTTCTTTAAGGTGTAATGTTGGAGTGTTAACTTGAGATACTTTTGTTTTTCATTTATTTTATTTGGCAGGCAGAGACAGACACAGAGAGACAGAGAGAAACAGCCAGAAAGATCTCCCATCTGATGGTTAATTTCCCAAATATCTGCAACAGCTGGGGCTGGACTAGGCCAAATTTCTCCCCAGTCTCCCACGTGGGTGGCAGAGACCCAGTCTCTCGAGCAATCGCCCATGCCTCCGGAACTCCCACTAGCAGGAAACTGGACAAGCCAAGCACTCTGACATGGAGTGTGGCATCCTGGCAGCGGCTCACCTATTGTGCCAGCACCTGGCCTATTCTTTTTAAAGCACAGTTGCTGATAGCAACACATTTCCTGTGAGTGCTGCTCCTTGGCACTCGTGGTCTCTGGACTGTCGTGACTCAATTTTTACTCATTTCAAGGTATCTTTCTAATATTCCTTGTGAGTTTTTTTTTTTTTTTTTGATCCATCCCTCTTTTAAGAGCATGTTGTTTAACATTTCCAAAAATAGCAAGAAGACCTCAGCAGAGACACAGCAAGGAAATGCGGCTTCCGGCACTGTCCTGGTTCCAGTGCTGGGGCACTGCTCTGCCTGGGCTGTGGGCCTCAGTTGTCCTCTGGAGGGGGCCTGCCCCAGCCCCTGGCTCCAGAAGCCACGCAGCCTCTGCTTTGGTTCTTCTTGTGCTCCTCACATTCAGAGCAGTTGAAGAAGTGAGGTCCTGAGAAGAGGGGTTGAATCATAGTAACATTCAAAGGTGCACCGAAGGCTTTGAATGCATGAGCATTTCAAAAGTTCACTTAGTGCTTTTCTCCAAAATTTCTAGAACCCTAAGAAATATTCCAGTAACTTTCGGGATGAACAGCACATCCACACATTTTAAGTAGGGGAAAGAGATTGTGGGAGAGGAGTGAGGCTTTGCTCCTGGGGGAACACGTGCAGAAGTTGCGCTCAGCAATGCACAGCAGATGCGTCTGACTTCCTTGAAACTGTCCACGCCCACCATCACTTTGAGGGGGCTTCATGTCCATCTAGGGGGACATGCACCTCAGCTGAAGGCCGTGGTTCTCACATCCGGCCCTGAGCTGTGTGCTGCTGGGGCTCCTGTGTGCAGCAGGTGCCGGCTGACAGACCACGTGTGGGAGTGGCTTATGAGCCGGGTGCTGTGGAGAGGCTGGAAGGGTCTGGGCTGTGTCCTAGAAAAAGCTGTGTTGCTGTGAATGCCCAGGCAAGGGCTCGGGGCCAGGGGAGCGCCGTCCTGGGGGCCAACCTCAGGTCCTGTGCGGTGAGAACAGGTTGTTGGTGGACACGTGCGTGGGTGAGGCCTGGTCACACAGGGGAGGGGTTGAGCGGGGGTGCCCCAATCCGTGCCCTGTGGAAGGCAGACCTTGTGGATGATGAACGTGAGACAAGGGGAATGATTTCTGATGGAGTTGGTACTCAGAAGGGAAGCAGAGCCTGAAGATCCGGAACATTCTCAGGCTGTCTGGGTTAAGGAGAATGAAAGTGGCAGCTCAGGAGACAGCTGGAAAGGTGTGGCCCTGTGAGCGGGCATTAGAAAGGCAGAGAGAGGCTGACTCCATCAGCTGGCTTACTCCACACATGGCCCCAAGTCCCCGCGCTGTGCCTCCCGGGCGGGACAGCGTCAGTGCAAGAGTCCCTGACTGGTGGAGTCGCTGTCCTGGACCCAGCCTGGGACACTCAGGGACGTCCCAGCTGGGACACTGAGGGGCATGGGGGCAGGGCCGCCCAAAGCCACAGAGCCTTGGAGGCCCAGATGCAGGCCCAGAGAGGGCTGCTGTCCCGCCTGCAGGTTGGGACTTGTCTGGGACCTGTCCCTCCTGTCCCGCATCTCTCCCTTTTGGAATGTGCCTGATCCCACTCCCAGCAGGAGCAGTCGTCTCCACAGTCACACCTGGAGCCACACCTGACATAGGTGCCACCTGCACCAGACGGGGGCTGTCGGGATACAAGCACCGTGCTAGCCTGCAAGGAGGACGTGGGCCTGGGCTGCCGGGGCTGGAGCGCCAGGGTGGGGACGTCTGTGCCCAGGTTTCATGAATGAACCCCTGACCCCTGTGTGAGGTCCCAGGAGGCAGGACCAGAACCTTCTGCCCAGGAGGTCCCTGAGCCGAGAAGCAGGCCCTCACCAGACGATGCCCGGCTTCTCGTGTCCCTGGTTCCGCGTCTGTCCACGGTGTGCTGTCAGCCCCTGACCCAGGCCTGGCCTCTGGTGTCAGAGCCGGGCTTCTCCCTTCAAGGACATGATCCTGTGCTTCTCTGAAGAGGACTGGTCCCTCCTGGACCCCGGCCAGACTGGCTTCTATGGAGAGTTCATCATTGGGGAGGACTGCGGAGTCTCCGTGACCCCAAGTAAGACCCGGCTTCTGGATGGCGGCCTGGGGTCCCTGCCAGGGTCTCCCTCCCGAGTGCGACTGTGCACCAGATTGGGGGCTGGGGTCCCTGCCAGGAGCTCCCCCCTGTAACAGCAGGAGACTGGAGGTGTATTCAGGTCTGTGCCTGGTGGCCCAAAGCAAATGTCGCCCTGGCTCCTGCCCCCATTTTGACACCTGTGGCTCAGGCTTCCCAGGCTGTCTGTCACCAGAGGCCCAGCATCCCTGTCTGCTTCTGGCTTCACACCTGCCGGCCTTGAAGGCCCCGGCCCTGCCCCTAGGGGTTCCTGCCCACCACACTCCTCCCCCCATTCCGCTCGGCTTCTTGGGCTCTGCGCCTGGCTGTGCTGGCTACTTTGGGAGCTGCTCAGTGGGGTGCCTTGCCCTCCCTTGGAACAGATGACCCAGCCGCTGGGACCGGGAGAAGCCACGCGTGTGCCCTGTGTGTGGGGAGCTGTTCAGCGAGTGCGAGGACCTGGACTGCCACCTGGAGGCTCACGAGGCCCAGAAGTCACAGCACCAGCCCCTCTTTTATTTATTTGGAAGGCAAAGTGAGAGAGACCTTCCATCTGCTGCTTCACCTCCCATTTGCCCACCACAGCCAGGCCAGGCCAGACTGGACCCAACGTCCTAAACCCAGGGCAGAAAGTGCAGGAGGAGTGAGGTAGTGTTTTTACACCAGGCATCACATGATCTGCCAGATCCTCTTAGGAGAAGAACCTCAGGGAACCTCAACCAGCAGGTGCAGCTCCAGGAGCCGCAACTAGGAGGGGCCCATGTCCGCGGCGCATTTGCACGGGTGGAACACCGCTCACAACCTCAGTTATGGGGAAGCAATGATGAGGAAGAATGAAACTCATGGTGCAACATATTTATATTAACTTTAATAAAACTACTAGGGAGTTACTAAGAGTGACTATAGTTAAATGGGGGAAAGAGAAAAAATAAGACGGGCAACTAAACTGACACAACTCAGGCCTCAGCTTCACAGCAGGGAGGCCACTGTCCCAGGCACCAGGCTCACAATGAGCTCAGATCTGCCCCTGAGGTTCCAGGCACCCCTGGTCACGAGGGCATTACAATGGTGTTCATGGCCTTGAGGCTGCTGTGGGCTTCTTGACAGGGGGCTCCAGCTGGCGGGACAGGGCGTAGCTAATGGAGAGAGCACAGCCATGAGTCCACCAGGAGCCTCAGCTCAGGCCTCCCTCCCAGGGCCTGTCCAGGAGCTGCAGTCCTGGGGCCAGAAGTGCCCATGGGACAGGGCCTGCTGCCCGCCAGGGGGCCTGGACGATGCTCCCTGCAGCTGCACAACAGGGAGAGAGCCCTCCCCACCCCCACACTAGGCTTCACCTGATTCCTGCCCATCACTCACCTCTCCTTCTCAGTGAGAAATTCCACGGACCGGAACCACACGCCAAACTCCTCATCACGCTTGAAATAATACTTGCTCGCTGCCACCTGCAGTAGTTGGATTTCTTGCAGGACTTTAATTTCCTGGGGTTGGAGGGACACACAGGACACTGTTAGGGCCAGGGCTGGGAATGCTGTGGGGACCTGGTAGGGGAGGGGCTGTGAGGTTCTGGGTGTTTCCTCTTAAGAGGTCTCCTCCCCTCCAGCCCATGCAGGCCCCACCCTGGCCTCCGATGGGGGTGCAAACAGCCCCTCCCCAGGGGCTTCTCCTTGATTCCAGTCCTCTTCTTGCACCCACCCTAGGGATGGGTCTCCCCCTCATGTGCACCCAGCCCTCCTAATAGAGCAAAGCTGCAGGGGTGATGCATGGGGTCCCGACCGGGGCCACCTGTGACCCCCAGTGCCCTCCTGCCCTGAGTGAGGCCACAGCTGCTCACCTTATTCAGTTTCTGGAAGCTGACATCAGCCTGCTGGAAGGCAGACAGAGTCCATCAGAACCGCCCCCAGCCGGGCCCAGCCCCGACACTCCCCTTCATGAGGCCATCAAGGGGATGTGGGTGGGAAAGGACAAGGATCTGGGTGAGCTCTGGAGAGGGGACCTGGCAGCTGAGGCTCAGGCACCTGCTGTTCTCCCCTGCCTGGTGACAGGAGGGAAACAGAGGCTGGGATGGGCGAGGGTGCCTGGCCATGTCAGTGCTTCCTGACCTTGCTGGGTCCAATTTCTCTCCTGCCCATGGAGCCTACCCGAGGGGAGGCCAAGGAGGCTCAGCCAAGACCTTGTGTAGCTTTGTCCCTCCAGGAAAGGGAGGGGCACCCAGGTGGAGGCCCCGACACTCCCAGGGCAGAGGCAGTGAAGCCCCAGCCCCAGGGACGGCTGTGAGGTTCAGGAGAAGGGGGGGCAGCGCTGAAGGCTAAGAACGCAGTCCAGGCTCTCCCCACACCCCCCACCCTGAGCCTCAGGGACCCGGGCCCACCCCACCTGCCCCAGGATCACTCACATGCACAGAGTCCCCCATCACAGTGTCCAACATCACCAGGTATTTCAGGTAGGTGCCAAGAAAGGGGACGACTCCCTGTGCCACAGCGGGTGGTGATGAGCACCTGCTCTCAGCTGCCCCCCGAGCCCTGGCCCCAGAGACCCCTCCACCCCAGCTCCTGGACCCTGGCTCATGTCTCCCCTGGGAGCCATCCATACCTTGGCAGCCTCCCCCATTCTCCATCCTCCCAGCTACTCCCAGGACAGCAGGCACCCCTAGGACTCCTGCTGGGATGTCCAAGGGCACACAGGCCGTGTGGCCCCCAGCGCCACCTCAGCCCCAAGTGCACTGAGAGTCCAGCTGCCCCAGGCCCTGGCTCTGGTCTCTCTGGTGGAGGCCACTGAGGCAGTGTGGGGACTGCAGGGAGGGCTGGAGGTGGAGGCCCTGCTCCTGTGGCTCGGGCCCGGTGTGACGGAGGAGTCCCCTCGCCCGGGCGCACGCACCTTCTGTTGTTTCCGCAGCCTCATCTGCGCTCTCTGGGGATTCTTCTCCCGGGCAGCAAGCTTGAAGGCACCCTTCTGCCAGGATCAAGGTCAGGGTCTTAGGGCCTGTCCTTACCACCCCTGCCCACACCTGGGCTCTCTGCTGGGGCACTGCATGTCTGACCCCCTCCCCCAAGTGTACTCTGTCTGGATGCTGTGGCTCCCACCCTCACTGGGGGCACCTTGAGCAAGGGGCCTCCCTGGGTTTGCTCCTTGGCTGGTGAGGGTGCTGGGTACACCCTCCCCCACCACAGCTGTCCTGACTCAGCATCCTACGCCTGCCCTCCTCCTCCTCACTGTCCCCTGGGAGGAAGGCCAGGCCCTGCACCACACATCACCCTTCCTGGTGCCTCACCGACCCCCGTGAGCCCTGCACAACAGGCTCATCAGCCCCATCCTCTACTTGAGAAATCAGAGGCCATGGGCAATGGCCAGCCCAAGGCCACACAGGAGAGCCTGCCCTGCCCCCAGCTGACCGGCACCCCATTGCTTCACCCCAACTCCAGCTGCACCCCTGGCCAGGAGTCCATCAGGGCTCTCTGTGTCCTGGTCCCTGGCCAGGCACAGCCATGGAGGGAGAGGGCCAGGTGGTCTCAGGAGGCCTGGCTGACAGGTGCTGGCCACCCAGCCCCACTGGGTGCTCCTCCCACCCCCAGCAGGGTTGAGGACGAACCACAGCTTCTGCTGCACATCTTCCCTGCACTCAGGGAGTGGCCCCCAGGGATCATCTCTGAGTGCACAGGTTCTGGGTGGCCACACTTTGCTGCCCCCTTAGGTGGAAGGCGTTAAGATGTGGTCAGGCAGAGCCACCGGGCATGCGTGAGGAGGCCCCAGTAGCTTCCCTCGTCCACCTGGAGATGATGTCATTGCCCTGGGCAGGGTGGGAATCCCAGCACCTCAGGTGATGGGCAGTGGGTCAGGGCAGGACGGGCATCACAGCCACAAGTGTGTCTGTCTCTCATAGGCCCACTGCACCTGATGCTCGGCAGCCGTCGACCATGGGCCCTGGGATACCCATGTTCCGTTCCCCCCTCCCCAGTGCAGGTGGGCAGCCTTCCCCATGCAGGTCCTGGGCAGGCAGATCCCAGGCAGGGCCTGGCTTCCTGAGGAACCGAGGTCACCTGGTGGAAGGAGGGAAGCCCTTCCTGCCACTCTGCCACACAGCCCGGGTGGGGTCAGGGGCACAGAGTCTGTCCTGCCAGCCAACACCACCCCGGCACAAGGCCCTCACCCCACAAATCACCCTACCCCCCAAACACTTGCCCCACCTCCCAGCCCCCCTACCTTGGTGAGCCGATCTCTGCTCAAGCCATTGTCCTTCTCACACAGGCGCTCAAATTTTTTGCAGCTATTCCTGTGGAGATGGGAAACCAGGAAGAGCTACTCAGTGTGATGGGAGGGTGGTGAGTGCAGCTCCCTTTACTGGAGAGCAAGGAGGATGCACACGGCCCAGGTGAGTTTCCCACTGAGTTCCCTAAGCCCTGGTGCCCAGGGGACAGGCAGGGAGCTCAAGTGGTTCCCCTGGTCCCTCCCCTCCACTGAGCAACACTGTTCTGCCTCAAGTTCACCTGCACAGGGAGCTCCGGTGCTGCCCAGGAGCACCATTAAAGAACTGGTGCCTTCAGCAAAGCAAATATAATCCTGCGGCAAAAATTAGGCAGAAGGTCTAGGGGTCTCGAAGGTGCCATTCCCATGCATCCACTTAGAGTCCACGTCTGGCCCCTCCCAGAGTCATGGGGGTTAGTGCTGAGTCCTAGGGTCCCAGGTACACCCTGGTGCTCCTGTGGGAGAAGGCACCCACCTGGAGACTTCTCCCCACGTCTCTTGCAGGCGACAAATTGGGGAGGTCTGTAGAGCAGTGAGGATGGCATGGGCCGAGGAAACGTTCCTGAGGGTCTGGCACTCCTGGAGAGCAGAGCGGATGAGGGAGAAGTCACCTGATCCCCCTGGGCTGACATCCCCCTGCTGCATCAGATGCCCACGGAGCCACAGGAAGGCACCAGGGCACTGTGGCCACCCTCACAGGGAGAGGATTGGGTTCAACCCACACG